GTCTCATACATTGGTCATGTTATCAGGAGAGACCAATGCTTGGAGAAGACTATCATGCTTGATAAAGTACAGGGCCAGTGAAACAGAGGAAAACCTTCAGGGAGATGGTTTGACACAGTGGCTTGAACATGGGCTCAAGCATCGCAAGATTGTGAGGGTGGTGTGGAACTGGGCACTGTTCTGTTACGTTGCACATAAAGTCACTGAGTTGAAACTGACTTGACAGCACCTAACATCAACAGCAATTGCATCCATAACAAAAATGATGTTGCTTATTGGTCCAGTTGTGAAAACTTTTGTTTTCTTTATGTTGAGGTGTAATCCACACTGAAAGCTGTAGTCTTCAATCTTCATCAGTAAGTGCTTTGAGTCCTCTTCACTTTAAGCAACCAAGGCTGTGTTATCTGCATATCACAGGTTGTTAATGAGTCTTCCTTCAATCCTGATGCCACATTCTTCTTCATAACCTAGCTTCTTGGATTATTTGCTCAGCATACAGGTTGAAGAAGCATTTTGAAAGGATACAACCTTGACACACACATTTCCTGATTTTAAAACACATATTATCCTCTTGTTCTGTTCTAACAATTACCTCTTAGTCTACGTACAGTTACACATGAGTACAATTAAGTGTTCTAAATTCCTATTCTTCGCAATTTTATCTGTAATTTGTTATGATCCATATGGTCAAATTCTTTCCATAATTAATTAAACTCAGGTAACATCTTTCTGGTATTCTCTACTTTCAGCCAAGATCCATCTGACACCAGCTTTTCCTCTGATACAGATATTTGCTGTTGCAAGGCCATTGTAAGCTTCCTTTCTTAGCCTGAGCCTAAATCCTTGTAGTCTTTAGAATGCCAATCTTGTGTCTCTCTCTGTCAGTCCACACAGTCACACAGTTCCTCCAGATATTGTCACCGTGTTCTTGGCAACAATGTGCTAATGACTCCAAATCAGCTGTAGCCCATTGTCTCAGCCCAGATGCTGTCCACTGACCTTTCTTCATTGCTCCACTAAAAAAACAAAAAACTCACTGCTGTGGAGTCAGATCCAACTCATAGCGATTCCTCCTTGGGTTTCCAAGGGGGTATCATTACAGAAATAGATTGCCCAACCTTGCTTCTGAAGAGTGGCTACATTTCCCCAGTGGAGCTTATCTTACTTCTTCCCCTGACCTAAATCTACTCATTCTGATGTTCTCCTTACCTGAGCACCTGGAACCATGATATGCACAACTACCTGATTCAGAAACTTGAATATTATTTTTGATTCTTCCCTCTATACTGATAGAATCCACGGGACCATTAAGTCCAGTAGCGCTCTGTTCAGTCATAGTTTCTGATGCTGGTCACTTGGTCCTTCCTCAGAGAGACAACAGAGTGGACTGGTTAGCAGTCCAGGCTCTGGGTCCAAGGGCCTAAGTGTGAGCAGTGATTCTGTCACCTCACAACACTATGTGAGCCAATGTACAGTTTTGGTTTTATAAAGAGCTTGGAATGTGCCCGGCACACAGTCAGCCTTCCATAAATATTGTGTTTATTATGAGCCCCAACGCCATTGTTTCAAGATGACTGCAATGCTTGTTCAGATCATTGCAATAGCTCTTAACTGGTCTCCCTGACTCCAGCCAAGTCCCTGTGATGCAGCATGGATTCCCCAGAGACAGAACTGAAAAGGTTACTCATATGTCACAATCCCCCAGACACACTCATGGCCTTGTGATTTATCAGTTACATGCACTACAAGCCCCTCTGTGGTCTCACCTGGGGTCTTCTTCCCTCTCCTAGCTTCATTTCTCAGCCATCACTCCATACCACAACCATCTGCCTTTCTCTGACAGCTTCAGGGCTTTGCTCTTTTCACAGGTACTTTCCTCTCCATAAGGTGCTCTGTTGGTGTGGTGAGTAAGACATTTGGCTGCTAACCAGAAGGAAAGTCTGTGGTTCAAATCCACCAGCCGCTCCCTGGGAGGAGCATGAGGCAATCTACTTCTGTAAAGATTTTCAGCCTTGGAAACCCAGTGAGGGTCCTTATGAGTTGAAATCAACTCAATGGCAGTGGGTTTCTCTCCCTGGAGCTCCCACCACTGCACATCATCACCCCAAGGACAAACAGCAGGAAGAACTGCCCTGGCCACATTCCCTTTCCTGGATGCACAGCTGGAGCCACGGGAACTTCTTTGGAAGCAACTGAAGCCAGAGCAGCCCAGTCGTGGAAGAGCTGGGGACGAGGTGGGTAGATTTAGAATCTAACACCGCTGGTCTCAGGCTCTGCCTTGTCTGAGTGCTCTTCTCCTTTGCCACAAGCGACCCCAGACAAAAGGTGCAAAGATGAGGTGCGCACAGTAGCCTGTAAAAAAGCCACATTCCAGCCTCTGGAAAGCCATCAGATGTGGCCTAGGGAGCATAGAAACAAAAATCTAAATGGCAGAGGACACGGTAAACTTTTAACAAACTCTTTTCTTTCTTCTGTTTCTCTATTCCTTCTCCATTTCTGATGCTGCTCTATACCCTTGTCGTTCCCACGTGCCAATAGCCCTCTTTTTCTTTAATTCTCGCGCACTTTCCCTTGTTTTTTCCACGTGCTCCCAACGGCACGGCCCAGAAAACGAACTCCCTGCGTTGCCTGGTGCGGGAAGTCAGCTAGACTTAGCCCCAGGAGATTGGAGTTCCCCAAAACCCTGTACAGGGAGTACAAACGTTGCGCTCTGCTGCCCCCAGTGGCAGACTCTGGAAGTCTGACTCGGAGAGGCCAGGAATTGGGGGACTGACTAGGCACAGAGCTGTGCCATGAAATCAATGAGGACTTCCCTCACCCAAGGCCTCTGGCTCCTGGTACTAGACCTAATGCTTCTTGTTGACTCTCTTGGCAAGGACTTTATTTTTCACCCTGAGTGGGGGTTTGACTCCTACGAAATCACAATCCCCAAGAAGCTGAGCTTCCGGATGGGAGAACAGGGTGTGGCCAGGCACGAGTCCTATCTCCTGAAGGTAAAAGGCAAGAATCATGTCCTTCACCTGCGGCCCAAGAGGTTTCTGTTGCCCCGACATCTGCAGGTTTTCTCCTTCACGGAGCAGGGGGACCTTGTGGAAGATTACCCTTACATCCCGAAGCTCTGCAACTATGTGGGCTCGGTGGAAGAGGCTCAGGAATCTGAAGCTACGTTGAGTACATGTATGGGGGGTCTGCGAGGCATACTGAAGATTGATGAAGAACTCTATCAAATCGAGCCCCTCAAGGACTCTACCAAGTTTGAACATGTCGTCTATCTTCTGAATAAGGAGCAATTTACCAATCAGACCTGTGGCTTAACTGATGATGAAATAGAATTGCAGATGGCCCAGCATGAGAATATGGCTAGGAGAAGGCACTTTCCTGGTTCCTATAAGCACCAAAAGTATATGGAATTGGTCATATTGTTTGATCATGGTAGATATTTGTTTGTGAATTCCAATCTAACTCAAGCCATAAGTGATGCTCTTCTTCTTACTGGAATTATGGACACCTACTTTCAGGAAATCAGTATGAGGATACACCTGAAAGCTCTGGAAATATGGACAGATAAAGACAAAATAAATATTGGAGTAAGCAAATTAACTGAAGTTTTAAGCCAATTTTTATCATATAGAAGAAATATCCTAAATGCTCGGATTCTATCAGATTGGTCACATTTATATGTTAACAGACAGTTTCCTGATGCTCTTGGATGGGCTTGTGTTGGATTAATGTGTACTAAATTGCATGGTGGATCTACAAGTATTTTTCCAAATCTAAATATCTTTGGACCTGGCACTTGGTCTACTCATGAACTTGGTCATGGTTTGGGAATGAAACATGATGAAGAATACTGTCAATGTAAGGGTAAGCATAGTTGCATCATGGGCACTGGGCATACTGGGTGGAGTAACTGTAGTTTTATCTATTATTTTCAGTTCATATATTCAGGAGCATCTTGTCTAAATAATATTCCAGGAATAGGTTATGTGTTGGAGAGATGTGGAAACAAAATTGTGGAAGAGGATGAAGAATGTGATTGTGGTTCAAGAGCAGACTGTCAAAGAGACAAGTGTTGTCAACCTAATTGTAGACTCAAACATGGTGCCAACTGTAGCACTGGTCTTTGCTGTCATAACTGTCAATTTCGTCCATCTGGATATGTATGTAGGCAACAAAAAAATGAATGTGACCTTGAGGAATACTGCAATGGGACCTCAAGTCTTTGTCCAGATGACATGTATAAGCAGGATGGAACTCCTTGCAGATACAAAGCCTATTGTTTCAGAAAGGGGTGTCAATCCAGGTTTATGCAGTGCCAAAGAATTTTTGGGCCTGATGCCAGGGATGCTCCTAAGCAGTGCTATGATGCTGTGAATTTAATGGGTGATCAATATGGTAACTGTGGTATTAAAGGAACTCATTCCTATCAAAAGTGTAGCAAAGAAAATTTATTATGTGGCAGGCTCCAATGTATAAATGTCAAAATCATCCCTGATATGCCAGATCATACTTCAATAATTAATACTCATCTAAAGGAGGAAAATCTCATGTGCTGGGGCACAGGCTACCATCTAGGCATGAAACCCATGGGGATACGTGACCTGGGTGTGATAAATGATGGCACCTCCTGTGGCCAGAACCAGATATGTATTAACAGAAGTTGTGTTGATAGCTCAGTTTTGTGGTATGACTGTTTGCCCAAGAAGTGCAATCACAGAGGCATTTGCAACAATAGAAAGAACTGCCACTGCGTGTATGGGTGGGACCCTCCATTCTGTGAGGAGGAAGGATATGGAGGAAGCATTGATAGTGGGCCTCCAAGACCCCTAAGTCTGGAGGTGCCCTCATCAGTTCAAATTGTGTCCATTATGTTATTACGCCTTATTTTCTTAATCATCTCAGTGATTATTGTGTTTTTAAGTCAACTTATATGAAATTGTTAAAAACCCAAATAGGAAAAATATCCTCAAATAACACTGGAGAAAAAAAAACCTAAGTCCAAGAATATGAATCACAAAACTGAAAAAGTAATCAGGTACTCTACAGTTACTAAACAAAACACAGGATCATTTATTGAACAAACTTATAGCTTATACAAATGGGTCTCCATTCTTTTCCCAAATTTTTTACTTAGTTCTCCTTCAAGTTTTGATCAGCAAATAAATGACATCCTTGTTTTGGAAACAATTTGGTACAATTTATTTGCTAAATATTCACTCAACTCTTCATTTTGTGTTGAAGACTTAATTGTGTCCACCAAAAGGTAGAGTGGAGTCCTAAGCCCCAGTAATTGTGAATGTGATCTTGTTTGGAAATAGGGTCTTTGTCTATGTTATCAATTAAGTTAACATGAGGTCATACTGGAGTAAGGTGGATCTCAATTCAATATGATTGGTGTTTTTACAGAAGAGACACAGAGACAAGCAGAAGAATTTGAATATGGAGGCAGGATGCTTCTGCTGCAAGTCAAGGGACACCTGGACCTGCCAGCATCTGGGAGAGAAAAGAAAGAATCTTTCTCTAGAACTCTCAAAGAGAACATGACAAGTTCAAACTCCTAGCCTCCAGGACTGAGACACAATACATTTCTCTCCATTTTAAGCCAGCTATTTTGTGATAGTTTGTTATGGAAGTCCTAAAAAACCCATACAGATTTTGGTACAAGGAAATGAGATGCCGCTATAACAAATACTTAAAAACATGGAAGTTGCTTTGGAATTGGATAATAGATAGAGGCTGGAAGAACTTTTAGGTGCTTGATAGTAAAAACATACATGCCTTCAAGAGACTGTTGGTAGAATCATGGGCATTAAAGGGGATTCTGGTCAGGACTCAGAAAGAAGTAAAGCTGTAGAGAAAACTTTGATTGCTTTAGAGAATACACGTATCATGAACAGAATGTTGTTAGAAATGTGGCCATTTAATGAGCTTCTGGTGAGGCTTTAAAAGGAAATAATGAGCATATTGTTTGACATGTGGAGAAAGGCAATCCTTGTCATAAAGTGGCAAAGAAGATGGCTGAATTACGCTCTACTGTCTGTGGAAATTAGAACTTGTAAGTGATGAACTTGGATATTTAGCTGAGAAGATTTCTAAGCAAAATATAGAGGATGTAGCTTAGATTCTCCTTGCTGCTTCTAGTAAAATACAAGAGGAAAGAGATAAATTGAGGAATAAACTGTTTATCACAAAAGAGCCAGAACATAAAGATTTGGAAAATTTTCATGCTATCCAATTGCAAAACTTGAAGTGTGCTATGAAGATAACAACAAAGATGTGTCTGGACAACCATTTGCTAAAGAGATTAGGTGTGCGATTTATGGATCCAATCAATAGAAAGTCTTTCAGCTTAAAGTAAAGTGCACAAAATGAATAAGACTCCTAGGATTCTACAGTCAGAAAATGAGACAATAGAGCCACTCAGCTGTGAAGAGCTGGTATCCTTTAAGAAATGGGAAGCATTTCTCTGAGGACAAATCAAAAGTTGCAGGGGATGCTGCTGACACCAAGAGCCCAGAGGACATGGGCCCAGGGAACAGGGTTGTCTCCTCATTTGGGCCAGAAAATGGAGCTGTCATCTCCAGTGAGCTTTATGGACAGAGAATTCAGCCACAAATTATTCTGAGGTCTTGAAATATAATAGAATTTTCCCTGGTGAGTTTCAGACTTATTTGGGACTTATGACTCTTTGTATTCTCCAATTTCTTCATTTTGGAATGAGAACATCTCTATTATGCCTATCCCACCACTGTATTTTAAAATCAGATATCTTTAATTCTAGTCCTAACAGGTCTACAGATGGAAAGGGATTTTGCCCCAAGAAGGACCAAACCCAGAGTCTCATCCATACCTGATTAAAAATTATTTAAGAGATGAGATTTTGGATATAGAGTTTGTATTGGAATTGATTAAGACTTTTGGAGAAGCTGGGGTGGTGCTAAAATTATTTTGCATATGGGAAGAACATAAATGGGGGACATCACAGGGTTTACTATTAGGAATTGAATTGTGTCCTTAAAAGACATGTTGAATCCCTGACCCATACCATCTGTGAATGTGACCTTATTTGGAAATAAGGTCTGTGAAGATGTTATGAGTAAGTGCAGTGCAGTGAATTGCTTAATATGGCCCTTCTAGCCATAGTCTTCCGTTCTATGATATATTGTAAATCCCAGTGTCTGTGCCTGTTTAGGGTGGGATGTATCTTGAGTCCCACCTTGCTGGAGGGTGTGACTCAAGTCAGCACCCTTACTTTCCTTGAGGCTATACCTGTGAATGTGCTGACAAATTTGCTCTCTCTTAGCCCAGATCCTGCGTTTGGTTCATCAGTATCTCACCCCTGGACTTGAGACAATGCAGCCAGTTGCCTGACCTGCCAATTTAGGTTTGCCAATCCCTATGCCCATGTGAGTGAGGAGAATCCTCCAGACCTACACCTGACCCATGGATTTTGGACTTGCTGGCCTCCCTACCCTCACTATTGTGTGAGCCATTTCTTTGGCAGTGTGTGAGTTCTGTGAGATGTTACAGCAAAACAAGGAACCCTCTGATAGCATAGTGCCTAAGGCACTTGACTGCTAACCAGAAGGCTGGCAGTTCAAACCCACCAGCCACTCCTCGGAAGGAAGATGGGGCAATCTACTTCCGTAGTGATACTGCCTCAGAAACCCAAGGAGGGGTCGCTATGAGTCGGGTCCGACTCGATGGCACATAACAACAACAACAACAACAACAACAAGGCAGAAGAAGGAGCTCTGGTAGCACAGTGCCTAAGGCACTTGACTGCTAACCAGAAGGCTGGCAATTCAAACCCACCAGCCACTCCTTGGAATGAAGGTTGGGCAATCTACTTCCGCAGTGATACTAACTTGGCAACCCAAGGAGGGGTTGCTATGAGTCAGGGCTGACTTGACGGCACACAACAACAACAACAAGGGAGCTCTGGTAGCATAGTGCCTAAGGACTTGACTGCTAACCAAAAGGCTGGCGGTTCAAACCCACCAGCCACTCCTCGAAAGGAAGATGGGGCAATCTACTTCTGTAGTGATACTGCCTCGGAAACCCAAGGAGGGGTCGCTATAAGTCGGGTCCAACTTGACGGCCCATAACAACAACAACAACAACAACAAGGCAGGAGAGAAAGTACTGAGGGATAGGAGGAGGAATTGATCATAGAGATGATGGAGTGGTCCAACAGTTTGGAAAACTTGGGCATTTGGGATATCTTTAACCTCTGTCTCATAGGAAACAGCCTTGTGCTGATTCTTCTAAAAGAAATTATTTAAGCAGTAAATTAAAATGAAGTCATACTGGAGTAAGGTGGATTCTAATCCAATATGATTAGTATCCTTATAAAAGAGCAAAAAAGACACAGAGGGAAGATACAGACAGAAACCAGCCATATGAAGTTGGAGGCAAAGATAGAGTTATGCTGCCGGTGCAGGTCAAGGAGCACCTGACCCTACAAGTGCACAGCAAAGACAAGCAAGGATCTTCCTCTAGAGCCTTGGGAGGGAGTACAGCCCTGCTGACACTGAGTTCTAGCCTCCCAAATGGTGAGACAATAAATTCCTGTCATTTTAAGCCACTTTGTGGTAGTTTGCAACAATAGCCATAGAAAAACAATACAGTTTATGATTAAGTTTTGGGAATCTTGTAAATAATGCCCTAAAGGTTTTTCTGAACCCTAAAGCTCCAAAGTTTCGTGGAATTACAGAGGCTTTCAAAGTAGAATCCTTTATCTCAGAATCCAAGTTCCAAGTGAACTTCAACTTGATAAGAGAACATCTGTGTCTATGCCATTGCCAGATGTAAATTTATCTCCTCTTTTATAAGGACACCAATCATATTGGACAAATTGTTCGTACTACATCTTTGTAACTAGCAAGCGGTACATTACAAGGGATGGTGCATAGATAAGCATTTTCCCTGGTATAGTCACTCTATGAGTCATTCCAGTTCTGCAGACTATGGGGTCTCTGACTCAGTGTTTGGAGTGACCTCAAGTGAGATAAAGATACTAATCTACCATAACTCCTGTATTGCACTACAGTCTATAATGATGACAAGCACTGGGAGTGTTCTGGGGGCAAAGCTCTTTCTGTGATTTGGGTTTGAGCTTGGAGGGGAAGATCCTTTTGAGTGTGGGGTGAGGAACACCTGGTCCTAGGTTTGCCACATCCTTAAACACAGTGTTCCACATTGTATCAAACTTTGCCATCACCAGAAAAAGTTCTGAACATCAAGGATACTCAGTGACAGCTACCATACTGATAATGATGGCTAACATTTACTGAGAGTTCAAGTACTGAAAGCATTTTGTATTCACTGGCAATTTTTGATATAGGATCTTATAGAACATAATAAGAGAAAACAATTCCCTAATCATGATAAAAAGTATTTACCATAAACCATGAGAAATACAATACAAATAAATCAAGAGAAAGGAAAAGACACTTTAACATTCTTAATTCTTAGTGTTGTTTCCTGCATCATTCAATATATTGCCCATAGAATCCTTCAGTACTGAAATTCGAAGCTTAAATTTTTCCTTCAGGTCTTTCACTTTGAGAAATGTTGAGTTCTTCCTTTTGGTTTTCTAATTCCAAGTCTTTGCACATTTCATTATAATAATTGACTCTGTCTTCTTGAGCTACTCTTTGACGTCTTCTTTATAGCTCTTTTATCTTGTTATTTCTTCCATTTGCTTTAGTTGCTTTCTGTTCAAGGGCAAGTTTTTAGAGTATTTTCTGACATCCATTTTGGTCTTTTCTTCCTTTCCTGTCTTTTTAATGACTTCTCGCTTTCTTCATGGATGATGTTCTTGATGTCATTCCACAATTCCTCTGGTTTTTGGGCAATGCCTCAAATCTATTCTTTAGATGGTCCCTAAATCCAAGAGAGATATAACCAAGGTCATATTTTGGCTCTCATGTACTTGTTTTAATTGTTTTCAGCTTCAACTTGAACTTGCATATGAGCAATTGATGGTTTGCTCCATAATCAGCTCCTGGCCTTGTTTTGGCTGAAGATATTAAACGTTTCCATCGCCTCTTTCCACAGATGTCGTCAGTCTGATTCCTGTGTACTCTGGAGAAGTCCACATGTATCTTATTGTGTTTTCTTTTTGTGTTGTTGAGAAAAGGTATTTGTGATGAATAAGTCCTTGCTCTTGCAAAATTCTATCATGCAATCTCCAGTGTTATTTCTATCACCAAGGCCATATTTTCCAACAACAGGCGATTCTTCTTTGTTTCCAACTTTTGCATTCCAGTCACCAGTGATAATTAACACATCTTGATGGCATGTTCAGTCAATTTCAGATGGCATTTCTTGTTAAGTGCATCAGGTTGTCTCTAACTCTTAGTGAGCCTCTGTGCAATTGAACAAAACACTGCCCAGTCCTGTGCCAGCCTCACAATCCTTGTTATCCTTGAGCCCATTGCTGCAACCACTGTGTCAATCCATCTTGTTGAGGGTCTTCCCCTTTTTCACTGACCCTCCACTCTACCAAGCATGATATCCTTCTCCAGAGACTGGTCCCTTCTGACAACATGACTGAAGTAGGTGATATCACGTCTGGGCAGTCTCACTTTTAAGGAACATTCTGGCTGCATTTCCAGGACAGATTTGTTTGTTCTTCTGGCAGTCCATGGCATTTTCAGTATTCTTTGCCAACACTACAATTCAAAGGCATCAATTCTTCTGCAGAGTTCCTTATTTATTGTCCAGCTTTCACATGCGTATGAGACAATTGAAAATACCATGCTTTGGTCAGGCACACCTTAGTCTTAAATGTGACATCTTTGGTCTTAAACACTTTAAAAAGGTCTTTTGCAGCAATTTTGCCCAGTGCAATATGCCATTTAATATCCTGACTGTTACTTCCATGGGTGTTGATTGTAGAGCCAAGGAAAATGAAATCCTTGACAGTTTCTATCTTTGCTACATTTATAATTATGTTGCTTATTGGTCCAGTTGTGAGGATTTTTGTTTTCTTTATGTTAAGGTATAATCCATCCTGAAGTCTGTAGTCTTTGATCATCAGTATGTGCTTCAAGTCTTCTTCAATTTCAGCAAGTAAGGTTGTGTCATTTGTCTATTGCAGGTTGCTAATTAGTCTTCCTCCAACCCTGATGCCATGTTCTTCTTTAAATAGTCCAGCTCTCGGATTATTTGCTCAGCATACAGATTGAATAAGTATGGTGAAATGATACAACCCTGATGTACACCCTTCCTGATTTTAAACCATATAGTTACCCCTTGTTCTGTTTGAATAACTGTTTTATTTAAGGTCCCTTGAAGTCAGTATGATGCAGTAGTGAGATATTCAGCCACATAGTTCCTCTCATAATTTCTTTCTTTCTCAAATACAAAAAATACAGAAGCCAACATTCATTTTCTAGCACTGCAACTGAGAAGTCTCATTGATCAAATTGAAGGAAGAGAAGAATACATGAGGTATTTGTAGAAGATGGCTGTGAAAATTAAGTGCTGTTTATATTCTCCCTATAGGTTAAGGGTCTAGGACAGACAGTTCTATTTGAAGAATTACTGTAATTAATTTTAATTTTAATTGTTATTTGGGTGAACATTACAGAGCAAATTCATTTTTCATTCAGCAATTCATACACATTTTGTTTCATGACACTGAATGCAATTCCCCACAATGTAACAGCTCTCTTCCTACTTTGTCCCTGTAGTTACCTTTTCCCTGTGCCCTTCCCACCCATGCACTCCCACCCCCAGGGCTATGTCCATGTGCAAACACTGCCCTTCTGTTCTCCCTAGATTGATCACTACAAGGAATGTATCTACCAGTTGTAAATGTTCACCCCATTTTCTTGTGTTTTGTTTGGCTGGAAGCCACAGGAGTGAGTTCAGTTCCAGATCTGAAGGGTAACTAAGGGCCAGGCTCACTAAGCTCTATCAGACCAGTAAATCTAGGATTTTCTTTATTTGTTTGCTTTTTTAATGATTTTGAGTTTTGTTCCACATTGTTCTCCCACTCTATTCAGGATCTCCTGAACTGATCCCCAACCCCCCCAAGTGGTTGACAGTTGTAGCCATGCACCATCTAGTTCTTCTGGTCACATGGTCATATAGGCTGAGGATTGTGTGATGTAGTCCCTTCGACTAATTGTCTCCATGTATGTTCTGTTTTCTTCATTCTTCTCTGCTCTGGATGAGGAAAGACCCATTGTTGCATCTTGATAGCCGCTTGTTAGCTTTTAAGACCACAGTCGCTACTCACCAAAGTAGGATATAGAACAATGTTTTTGTGTAGTATGTTATGCCAATTGAGCTTAATGTCCCCTGTGACCACAGTCCCGAGCCCACAGGTCCAACTACTTGCTCCCTCCAGGTGTGGC